TCCTCCTCCTCCTCCTCCTCCTCCCCCTCCTCCTCCTCCTCCTCCCCCTCCCCCTCCCCCTCCCCCCGATTCTGGGAGGCGGTGGGGATGGGCATGCTCGGGGGCCGCGGGTCCCAAACGTATCCGTGCAGACCGGCTCCTGGTGTCCTTGGACACGGGCCGGGCAGGCGGCTGGCAGGGACCACGTCTTTCCTCGGACTCAGGATTCCAGGGGCATGTAAGAATTCAGGGGGGGAAAAAACACACAGACACAATTAATCGTCGATCCCCAGGAAAACATGGGAAAATATGGGAAGTGGGGGGGGAGACGAAAACCCCGAAAACATGAGAAAATACGGGGGATCCTTTTATTCGTGTGTATTTATTTGTGTGTCCCAGGGGCCCCTTCAAGAATTCTCGCCCCCCCCGTGCGATTGCCTCCCACGGGGTTCTTTGCGCGCGGCGCCTCGCGGCGGCAGCTGGGCCTGGGCTGCACGACCACCAAGGACTGCCAGCAGGATCGCGCGCCTCCCCGCCTCAGCCGCGTGCAGCCTCTTGCTGGAACCCTTTCTCTATCTGCGGCAGACCTCGCCGGGGGCATTCAAGGTTGAGCGCAGCCAGTGGCCTAGAATCGGCCAACATGGCACGATCTGGCGATCGAATCGTCGCCCGATCTCTCAAGGTTGAGAGATCCACCCAGTGTCGAAAACCAGTGCTGGAGTCGTCACTGCGGGAACCTTACGCACGTTCTTCGAGCCCACTTGGGCCCAGATAGTCAAAGTCATATCTCCAGCCCCAGGGAAGAGCACCGTCACAGCGGCGCTCAGAGCGCCCGCGGAGCATGCGGAGTATTTGTCTCGGCAGGGCGTGCACGTGGAGCTTCAGTAAGAGGAGAACAGCCACTCCGACCCCTATCAACAGGCGTTTGCTAGACAACCCAAGGCGTTTACCCAACCGCCTTCTCCCGTTCGACCCCATTCTTGAGTGGTGCGTTCCCGGAAGGGCTCCGCTCGCCGGGGTGCGTGTTGCGATGGTGGCTCTACTGCTTCCTACTTGAGCAGGCTTGGCGCCTGGAGCAGTGTGATCCTCCACCTCCTCCCCAGACCTCCCGTCGCCGTGAAAGGAAGAACGGGTCTGCCAGTCGGGCGTGGGCCTCCAGAAGCCCCAGTTGGAGGCTCCCATGCAGGTGCCACCCCGATGCGGGACTGGGAGGTCCGGATGAAGTTCCTGGGAGGTTACTTTCAGCATCGGCGCTGGCAAAACCCTGGTCGGAAACCAAGCGAATCCCCACCAATCGGGCTTAATCCCGCTTGATCAAGCTTAGTCCAGCCCATCCCTGGCCAACCCAGTTGAATGGACCCAAACTTGGGTTTATTCGATGTCCGTAGCATCGTGCTGAAGAAATAAGACAGAGACGACAGTCGCAATACGCATGCGCCTACAGTTGACAAGCTCTGCATGATAAAGTTGGCCATGCGCCGTGCATGTGAAATCATAAGGCGATCTAGCGTGGCCCATGTGGCTTCCAGTGCGGAAGACAAGCTTCACGCTTCGATGGGCCTCTTCCGGTACCTTGAACACGGGAGAGCGGATTGCGCGCATCAGTTTGTGTCTCTCTCCCTCTCTACCCGTACTTGCGCTCCCTCGTTGGCTCCCCTCCTCTGCCCACCGCTGTGCGGCGCGACCACTGCGTGGAGCTGGCGAGGCAGGAGAATGCGGAGCAAATGCACGCCCTCAAGGACCAGCGGGATAATTTGTCCGATTTTGTGGTCGCATCTCGTAAGGAGCACATCCTGCGAAAATAGCAAACGCTCATCGCTGGTTTGTGCCTAGCTCTTTCTGTTCTTGCGTAACATGGCAATGAGGAGTTTGCGACGCAACCAATCGGCATAGGGTCTCGTTGAATTAGCCCTGGGGTGGAGTTTTTTGCGGGCGCCCCGCTGATTTAGCCAGGATGCGGAAGTTGGACGTCCACAGTTTTTGTTTGGTTCCCAGGCAGGGCTGCCAGCTGAGTACCCTAAGTGACAGTCGCGTTTTTCAAATGTCGTTGAAGTAGGACGGACCTCTGGCGTTTCCTCACCTGGACCTGACGGAATACCAAACCGGGCGTGGAGAAAGTTGGACAATCTTGTTGTTCCGAAATTGTATGACGGAGTCTCTCGATGCAGGAAGGCTCCACGATCAATTAGTTGCCCCCCAATTTCGATCATAGCGACTTATGTTGTTTTCCAGAAGCGCCTGAAGGAACTCATCCTGCCTGCGGCGATTTTTACACGCCTGCCAGGACTAGACCGCTGTCTCACATAAGTACTGAGAACAGGCTCCTGTCATGTACGTGCCAGAACTTATGTGAGCCTCTTGGTTTTTGAAAGGCCGCCCTCTTCTCAGGAATCCTTGCGAAGTTAATCACGCAAGTCTGCTGGCCTGTAGTCCAGCCTCGAGAAAGCGAGTGCGGACCTCATATTATTTGATTTAGAGGCCGCGTTCCCAGATCTATTTCAAGATTCTATGCTGGCCGCCGTGGAGGCTTTAGGCGTCGCCCTTTTCATATGCAATGTCGTCCGATGGTTTTCCTGGGACAACACGTTCGGAATCAAATTGAAAAGGGCAAGTGCTTGACGGCTTCTCCATGACCAGCGGTGTGCGTCAGTGCTGTCCGTTTTCGTTTTTGATATTTGTGTTTGCCACGGACATGCAGTTGCACCGTATTTGCCAGCAGACTCCCCTGAGCTTTGTGCGTGCGTGTGCGGACGACGGCGCAGTGGTGGTACGAAGTTTCTGGCGCGAAGTGTCCACTGTCTTGCTCGTGCATGCGGAAGTCGATATGTTTCCAGGCCTGCGCCTTAACATGGCGAAGACCGCATGCCCGCTCTGGGAAACATCAGGGCATCCACTTCGCCGTGAGGGGCGGGATATGCTACCCGAGTGGGCGGGGGCGGAATTCGCGCTGCAGGCCATGTAGTTGGGATTACATATCGGCCCTGCCGTGTGCGCGGCCGTTTGGGCCCATGCTGTATCCAGGTATTCAACCCGCGTTTGCCTGTGGTTGGGGCTCGGACTCGGGTTGCAGTCGAACGCTCGAGTTTACTGCAGTTTTGCTGCACTGGTGTTGTCACATCTACGGCAACTATTGCGATGTGCCGCCAGAGGTTGCAGCTGCAGAGGCCACTGCCCTCACCCAGCTCTCTTTTGGACAGGGCGGGTGGCGTACAGCAGCCGATTTGTTTATTCTGCAGTCGTTGATTTCGTTCCCTGTCGGGTTCTGCAGCCTCTCGGACTGCGCATGGGCCGCTCAGATCCGAGTGGGACAGACTGTCGTTTAGGATCACAGCGAGATGTCCGAGCAGTGAGTATGAGCGCGCTTGGGCACGCATTTCGTTGCGCGCGCGGCTGCGTGCTCAGATTAGTATGATTCACATCTTCCCCTGTGTTGGGATCGGCCTCCCGCCGCGCGAGCTCGACGGGCCTTCGGGCATCCGACAGTCACCTTGTCTATGACTCATCTCCGGCTCTGCAGGCTAGCCCTAACCCTTTCGAAGCCCGCTTCCGCCACGAGCTAGCCAGACGGTCGCTACAGGCTTCACTCGGCCGCTTCGGCCGTCAAGCGCCGAGCATTGCTCGAGAGGCTGAGCCTGATGGCGCCGCCACGTGTGGTGGCCGCGTTCCGGAAGACGCAGTGGAACGGACGGTGCACAGCACGCCGATTCTAGAATGTGGGCTTGGGGTATTCTTGTGCAGCGCAAGATTGCATTGAGCATGACGCTTTGTGTCATTGATCGCGGGGCGCAAGTTAAGTGAAGATTCCTCGGGCTCCGGGATGTGAGTTTGGAGAGCTTTCTGTGCCTCGGCAGCGCCAGGGATAAGAAGCTCGGCCTGGCAGTGCGCGCCACGTATGCCGTGTTCTGGACGACCAACCTACTTACGTGGTCAAGCGGCACCTGATGCCTGGATTTGTTCCGATGCGCTGGAGCATTGAAGCAACATTGAGGCGCAAGACCACGATGACTTGACCTGGTTATTTGGAGGTGGCAGCGCCATGGCTTAACCCAGTGACGCGCGGTGAACTGTTTTTTATTCCTTTGGGACTCACCTTTCTCACTGTTCCTCCTCATCCTGTTGTCTCTCCTCCCTCTTGGCGTCTTGTTGCGAGTTGAGTTTCGCTGGTGCCTCGCCAACGCTTGGAGTCAAAACTGCGTGCAGGTTCCATTGCGTTGGTGCGAAGAATATTTGGGCCAATGAGATTCAAATCGTTCTAACGAAACCTCCCAGCATACGCCGTCGACTTGTGTGCAACGCGCCGCATTGGCTTCTCCCGCGGCGTCGTCGATCGTCGGCCCAGGAACAGCACGGTGAGCCTAACAACCGTGCACCGTACCTTTTTGGAGCGGGGCCTGCATGAGTCCAAGCATTGCGCGGTGCGCGGGCGAGCTGCTCAAGGGTCGAGGCGTTCGGCATGCACTGACACTTCTGCGGAACTTGTCGTCTGGAGGCGCGGCACGCGTGTCCTGCGCCAGTCGCAGTCTCGCGTGTGCGCGCCTTGCCTGCGCCTCGTGGCGATCGGTATCATGGCGAGCGTTAGAAGCAACGCTCGAGGGGGATAGGCTCGGAGGGGGGACGCATCGGCCCCTAATCGCCCATCGATCGCCGATAGGGGCCCGCTATCCAACCCCGCCCCGGACCGTGCGGATTCGTTATCGGGGACCTATCGCCAATCTATCGGCGACGTATCGCCAAGTAAAGCTCGATGTTTATTTACCTCTTCCCCGAACGTTCCCCCTCAGCGGGAAGCGACCACAAGGAAGTCCTGACCATGAGTTCATCGCGATTCGCTTGGCCCGGCAATGGCCTCTCCTTCGCCAGCAGCAGGGAGAAGAAGATATCGGAGGAGGAAGAGGATTGGGAGGAGGGACAACAGAAGACGGAGGATGGGAGGCGTTGGATAGGGCGAACGAGGAGGAGGAGGAGGTGGTGCAGCGGGAATCGTGAAATTCCATGATCAGGCTCTCCTGTCCTTTCCGCTCCTGGAGCTTTGGATCGTTTCCCTCGTGTCCCTGGTCCTCCGTCTTCCGGTCCTGTCCCGTCCCTCCCGTCCCGTCCCTCCCGTCCGATCCCGCGTTCCGCCTCTCCCCCTCTCCTGCTCTCTCTCCTCCTGTCCTCTCCTCCTGCCCCCCCGTGCCTCCCCCTCCCCCCCGCGCCGCTCCTGGCCGAGCCCGGGCCGGGGTCGGCGGCCGTGTCCGCGTCTCCCCCGCCGCGCCGGGAGGGGAGCCGCAGCGGAAGCCCATGCCAGGAAGAAGCACCCTGCCTGTTTCTGTGGGGCGCCCTGGGCTCCTCGGGTGTCGGTGGCCTCACGATAGGGGGCGCGTGCTGCTCCCACTCCAACGCAATCAATGGACGCAGGGTGCCCTGAGTTTCTTGTGTTTCGATGGTCTTGCATGTGGGGAGGGTGGCGCTCCCTCGCCAAGAATGAGTGGACGTCCTGGGGCTTCGGGCTGGGTTTCTTTACCAGCCTGGAACATATCCCTATCCCTATGCTGGGCACCTCCTCATCACGATGCCAATCTTAGGGATTCCCTTATTCTTCGAGGGCGAATCCCTAAGATTGTCATCGCCTTTTGGCGTGTCAATCTTAGGGATAGGGATACGTTCGAGGCTGGTAATTTCTGAGCTCCTGCTGTACACCCGATCCCGGGCCCAGGGTGGGCCTTACCAGGGCCAGTGCAGTGCAGCACCAGGAAGGAAGGGGTGATGATGCCGACGATGATGACCTCGACGACGTCGTCGTCGTCGGGGACAGCGATGATGATAGTGATGATGATGATGATGATGATGATGATGATGATGATGATGATGATGATGATGATGATGATGATAATGATAATGATGATGATGATGGTGATGGTGATGGTGATGGTGATGGAAGTGGTGATGGTGATGGTGATGGAGATGGTGATGGTGATGATGATGATGGTGATGATGATCATGATCATGATGATGGTGATGGTCATTACGATGTTGATGCTGATGATGCTGATTGTGGTGATGATGGTGGTGCTGATCATGAGGTTGATGATGTTGATGGTGATGGTGATGATGCTGCTGCTGATGATGGGTGGTGGTTATAATGATGACGCCGATTATGATGGTGATGCTGTTGATGATGATGATGATGATGATGATGATGATGATGATGATGATGATGACAAAGATGATGACAAAGATGATGACACATATGGTCGTGAGGGTGATGGTGATGGTGATGATGATGATGGTGATGATGATGATGATGATGATGATGATGATGATGATGATGATGATGATGATGATGATGATAATGATGATGATGATGATGATGATGAGGAGGAGGAGGAGGAGGAGGAGGAACACACAGGTGAATCATGGGCGCTGCAAGTGGGTGCTGAGATCAAGGGGAGTTCGAGTAGCCAGATGAGCTAGCATCGCCAGGGGTATTATCAGGCACCACGGGCCCGCATTTCAACGAGCAGAACGGACAGCAGGAGGCTCAGTAAACGGATCTTCAGAAGAAGGATGTTTGGGAGCAAGATGGGGACACAGAGCAGCGGCAGCGAGAGCTGAAGTCTGTGGCTGGGATCTTCGATCCTCGATCCGATCCAATATCGATTTTGGATCGCCCGATCCGATTCGATTCCGATATTCTGCCGTTTCGATGCGGCCCGATACCTGCATGGCGCTGCTGCGCGGTCTGGCGCAGCCGATGCCGACGCGGCCTGGTCCTGCGCACTTTCCGATCCCGCCTGATTTCGCGATTCGATGCGGACTGATCTCGCGGGCGCGTCTGTTGCCTTGCATCTTCGGGGGACCTCGCCTGTCCCCAAAATTGGTGTCTTTCCTTGTGCCCGACGCGGGCTCGATGCGGACTCGGCGAGGATCTGGCCTGGATTCGACGCGGATTCGACACGGATTCGACACGGAGCCGACATGGATTCGTCACGGATTCGACAAGGGTATGTCCGCGACGGGACGGACCAGGTCTCCCGAGGATGCAACATTACAGTTGGAAACCACCGGCGAAACCTTGAGGACGGCAGCTGGAACGAAGAGGACGCCGCCGCGCCCCGCGTGCCTTCCCCCGCGGCGCTGTCGTCGTCGGTGCCGGCTCCACGCTGTGATGGGCGGCCGTGCTGTCTCTCTTGCGCCCTCCGCGCTGTTTCGGAAACGCCTCTTGGTGTGGAGGAGGGGAGGAGAAGGAGGAGAAGGAGGAGGAGGAGCACGAAAAGGAGGAGCAGGAGGAGCAGGAGGAGGAGGAGGAGGGAGACGGAGGAGGGCTCCCAATCCTTTCCTTTACAACCGGCATGTTGAATGGGATTGCACCAGAAGCGCGCCATTTGGCCACAGGAGGAGGAGGAGGAGGAGGAGGAGGAGGAGGAGGAGGAGGAGGAGGAGGAGGAGGGGGTATCCCTTGCCCGCCTCTCGGCGGGCGAGGGCCCCCCCTTTGGGAGGGTCTTGGGGGGCCACCTCCTCGGGAGCCCCGTGGGTGGACGGCGAGGCCCTCGAGCCATCCCTCCTGCGGCGCGGCGGCCGCGCCTGCCCGAGCAGCAGCGCCCCACCCCCGCGCCGCCTTTGCAGAGCCCCCCGCTCTCTTCTCTTCCTGCCTCGTCCTTCTCTCCCCCACCCCCTCTCTCCTCCCTCCCAGGGGGGCTCGGTGCCATCGGCGCGCCGCACCGTCGAGGGCGTCGTGGAGCTCCGGGGTGAGCCGCCAGACCCCAGGGCCCCGACGGGTCCCAGCCGCGCCGGCCGCCAGGAGCAGGCCTGCCTCCGCCGACGGAGTGGGCGGCATGCCTGCCAGGGCACGCCCAGGCCCGGGGCACCGAGACCAACAGAGGCATCCTGGCTGCCCACTCGCGACCCAGGATCGAGCCACCCTCAGCGAGAGCACGCCGCTGCAGGCTCGGTTCAACTCCGGCGCAGCAGCGAGAACACCACCGCTGCCAGCCGCACCCAGCCATTTCCCCCGCCCCCCTCGCTCGTCATGCTGTTTCCTCATGGCCTTCCTACCCCCTCCTGTCCCTTGGCGCGCGCCGGTCGCACGGGCACACCCTGCGTGTGAGTGGCCAGGTAGACGGCGGGCGGGGGGGACGGAGAAGAGCGCGACGTGTAGTCGTCTGCTCTGCTGCATCGCGAACACCGCCGCTGGCAGGCGCTCGAGACGTTATTTAGATAACCCCACCCACGGGGCAACGGCCCCTGGGCGGGGGATGGCAGTTACCAGGAGGAGAAGAGAAAAGAAGAAGACCTTTGAAAACCCAAGACGCGTCAACGAGTTTCAACACATCCTCTTCCCAAGTTTGTTTTCCTACATGTTCTCATATTTAAATATTATCACAGCGGGACGTGCCCCTTGCCATGAGAAGACAACTGCCTGAGAATCCTCAGACGTGCCAGAACGCAGCTCCTAGAGCCTTAACTCCGCGAATCAGAATGAGTGTTGCGCACTGACAACCCTAAGTAAGCTGTTCTAGAACACCATTCTTGGGACTTCAGCACCGGGAATCAACATGACTGTTGCGTACAGACAATTCTAAATCCAGCAAGCACACCATCCCTGGGATTCCAAACGTACGAATCCGTCAAAAGGTTGCAGTGTTGTAGAGCGAATGTGCGTGGAGCTGAGGTTAGAAGCTGTGGAGCGAATCCGCGCGGAGCTGAGTGCGCAATGCTGTAGAGCGAATGTGCATGAGCTGAGTTGGATCCTTGAGAAACTGTGATGAATGTTTAAGACGAGTGTGCGCGGCGCTGAGATGAGACTCACAAGTTTACAAGGACATGCCTTCCATGTTTCAAACTGCTACAAGCTTTTTAAGCGAATGTGCGCGGCGCTGAAACAAGAACCACATGTGAACGACAACCTTCCATCTGGCAAGCTGCTTCAAATGAGTAAGACGAGGAAACGCGGTGCGAAGGCGAGAGCTCCATTCTAGATCGGCCCGCCCTCCATCAGAGAAGCTGTTGCAAGCTTTACGCTTTGGTATCTTAAGTGGTGAAGAAGTTTCCGGCGAAACGCTCAGCCCTGGGGGCCCGACAGGGAGGAGTCGTTTACATGGAAATCCGATGGAGGATGCGGAGGAGGATGAGGAGAAGGGGGGACGACGGGGTGAGCAGTGGGAGTGTTGAGGAGGACAGGGGGGGGGGTGCGGGAGGGAGAGAGGGAGGGAGGGATGGAGGGAGTGAGGAAGAAGGACGAAGAGTAAGAGCAGGAGGAGGGGAAGGAGGAGGCGGGAAGAGGAGGACGAGCAGAACTATGAAGGGGGAGGAGGAGGAGGGAACTGGAGGGAGGTGGAGGGAGGTGGAGGATGGAGAAGATGGAGAAGATGGAGGTGCGAGGATGATGAGATCTGAGAGATCTGTGCTGTGTGAAGCGAGTGGTGTCTCTTGCGGCCGCCGCTTTCTGCCTTGACGCCTGATATTCTTGCTCATCCGTGTCCTCATCTCCTCCCTCCTGCTACCTCCTCCTCCTCCTCATCATCATCATCCGAGGTATCTATCTTCCTGCTTCTCATTCTTCACAGTTCCCCCCTCCTCCGATGTCTTTGAGACATTGGGCCTTGTCCTTGTGCACGTTATTTCCTTTCTGCGCGGTGTTCCGCGTTCTCATCCTTCATCCTCAGAGGGAGTAGTGCTAAACTGTCATGTTCATGCTCGTACTTATCTCATTTCTTCATCCTCCCCTTTCAGCTCCCGCTGTTGCTCCTCCAGTTCCACTTCGATATACTCCTTCTCATTTTCCTCTTCCTCGCCGCAACGTGTGGATAGGCCCAGCCGTATGCAAATACAGTGAGCGAGGCTATACATTATCAGTGTATTGCGCGTCGAGGTGTCCAAGCCTATCCGGTTCGAGCCGAACCTTCATCCTCATTGTTCTCCCCACCGTTTCCCCCTCCTCGCTCCGCCCTCTCCCCCCAGCTGCCCACCCCACCCCACCCCAACGCTCCCCCATTGTGATCCCTCCCCCAATACCCCCTTGTTCTGCATCCCTCCGTCTCCTCCCCTTCCCGTTTCGGCACACTCTTCCCTGCCCTCCACCCGAACACTCCTTCATGCCACCCACCGCTCCGCCTCTCCGCATCCCTCACTCCCCGCTTTCCTCCATCTCTCCCCCCCCTCCCTGTTTCTATCCGCTCTGCCCTGCCCGGCGTCCCGTCGCCCCCTCCCTGGCGCCCCTGCCACCCACTCCCTACCCCAACGCTCCCCCCTCCGACCGCTGCCGTCCCGTCGCCCCCCTTGTCGCCTTCCTGTCGCCGCTCGGGGGAGCGGCCTCTGAGGGAGCACGGCTCCTCGACCCTGGGCCTGCCCCCGGTGCCCGCTCGTGATCCCCAGCCGCCCTCTGGTGGCCCCAGGGCCTCTCTGGGGGGCGCCTGCGGCCCAGAGAGAACTGCTGGGAAGACCTCGCAGCACCCGTGTCCTTCCGTGACCCGGCTGGTCGGACAACCTTTTGGAGGGGGTTTGCCGACCCTGCTGGCCCGATTCGATGCGATTCCCCCGTCTGCCGATTCGAACGGACACGATGTGGAGACTCCGTCTCGTGATTCCGGGCCTCGTTCCTGGAAGGAGAGAGGGCCCCTCCTGCCATAGGACCCGCTGCCCCTTCCACGCCAGACCCTTCCTGATCCCCCTCCGCCCCCCGTCCCTGCGGGCTCCGCTCTGCCCCTCGCCCGCACCCTTGCTCCCTGCCTTCCCTCCCGTTTGTTTTGTTTGCGCCGCCTCTGCACCCCGCAGCGATCATGTTCGAAGGGGGGGAAAAGGGAGGTGACCAGTGGGGGCCCCTGGCCCCCATCGCGCTCCACCAACACGCCAACCTAGTGGGCCCCGGAAACGGCATGGCCGTTGTTTTCACCGTTTCAAAGACAAGTGTCTTTTGAACATGAGAGCGGCACGGCACCAAAAAAGCGGCTCCAGAATTGCAACCGGAACCAGAACTGGCAAAACCACCGCGACGGAGCCAGAAGAAACATGGCGCCTGAACTGGCCACAGAAACGGCAAAACAGAGATCGGTAACTAAACTGGCCCTGTCGAGTTTCCAGGGCCCACGGAGCCCACCGCCCCTTCCCTTCAGCTCCCTTCCCTTCAGCTCCCTTCCGCTCCCCTCCCCTCAGCTTTCCCTCCAGCTCCCTTTCCCCTCCGCTCGCTTCCGCTCCCCTCCCCTCCGCTCCCCTCAGCTCCCTTCCCTTCAGCTCTCTTCTCTTCAGCTCCCCTCCCTTCAGCCCACCGCCCCTTCTCTTCTCGTTCCGTCCCTTGAGCTCCCCTCCCCTCCTGCTCCCCCTCCTCCTCTGTGGGTGCTCCAGGGTGGGCGTCGGTCGGCGCCACGCGTGAGCCCCTCACGGAAGCCCGGGACCGCGTGCAGGCCGTCGGGCTTCTTATGCCCAGCCGTGCTGCCAGCCAGGCATGGCTGGCGACACTTGCACAACAACGAGAACAACAGATTCCCTAGCCCGGATGACACTGTGAAGACGTGGCCTCATTGAGCTCCCTTAGCTCCCCGTTATTTAAGTGGGGATCTTAGATCTGGGCCTTTTGGTACAATACATCAGCAGCAGAAAAGAGGCCCCCATGTCCCTAACGTGGTTGGCCCTCCTCACTTAGGCCCCCTCCCAACGGGTTAGGGGTCCTCTTTACTGCTAACCATCAGACGGCGCAGGCCATGCTTTCCTTCCTGCCCTCCGCCCCCTCCTCCCTGGACCCCCGACGCCATAATTTGTTTTTTCCCATGACGCCGCCCCCCACGAGTCTCGCCCCGTTCCCTGGGACAGTCGTTTCACCCGGAGTATTTTAGTTAGCGGCCCCGGGGCCTGGCCAGGCCCGCCACAGGCCGCAGCTATAAGGAAAGCGTCCCGTCGTGATGTTTGCTATGGCCCGAGTGGGTTGGGCCCCTTTGCGTCCTGCCTCCCGTCTTACGGGACCCAAGCAGTACACCACCACCACCACTTTCACCATCACCACCACCACCACCACCCTCGCCCCGTCTTCCTCGCAGAAGGAGGAGGGGATAGGAGGGTGGAGGAGGGAAGGGGAACGGAGGTGGTAGTGGTGGTGGTGGTGCATATTTTTGGGGGTCGCACCTACTGCTTCCCCCCACCGCTCACCGAAACAGCGTGGCGAGCGCCCCTTGCTTACCCGGCCGTCGCTCCCCGCCCCGCTTTCCGCTCGGCGCCCCCCGCGCCCGCAGTTGTGCCCCGACCCGATCGGTTGCGGGAAGAGCTGCGCCATCGAAGGCTTCAGGAGGAGGGAGGAGAAGGAGGAGGAGGGAGCACAGGAGGCTGATGATGATGATGATGATGGTGGTGGTGGTGGTGATCATGATGCTGCTGATGATGATGATGATGATGATGATGATGATGATGATGATGCTGATGCTGATGCTGATGATCATGATGATCATGATGATCATGATCATGATGATTAGGGTGAGGATGAGTATGAGGATGAGGATGAGGAGGATGAGGGGGAGGAGGATGAGGGGGAGGAGGAGGAGGAGGAGGACGAGGAGGAGGAGGAGGAGGGAGCAGGAGGAGGAGGAGGAGGACCAGTGGAAACCCAAGAGGCATCAACGATGTTGAAATTCGCCCTGCCTCCAAGCTCCCTCTCCATAGGCCCTTACAACGGTTCATTTCCATTGAGGGAACTGCCTCGTTGGACAAGTCAACAGTTTGAAGATCTTGACGCGTGTTAAAACATAGTTCTCGGGATTTCAACGCCACGTATCAACCTGATTGCTGCGTCTTGACGATCCAGAATCGTGCCAGAACGCCTTTTCTGGGACTCCAGCACAGCGACTCAACATAACTGTTGCGCCAGCATAGCCCTGAATCTTTCCAAAACACCATTTCTGGTACGCTGATGATTGGAACCCGCGAAACTCTTGCACATTCCAAGGACACACGCATGTGCGCGGCGCGGAGGCGAGAGCCACAGTTTGGAAACCACCCATCTTCAATCCGTGCAACTCTTGCATGTTTGTTGTAGCGAATGCGCGCGGCGCTAAGGCAAGAGGCACACGTTGAAACCAACACGTCCTCTATCCGTGAAGGTTTTGCAAATGTTGAAAACGAATGTGCGCGGCGCTAAGGCGAGAGCCACATGTTGAAAACCACCCGCTTTCAATCCGCGCAACTTTTGCAAATGTTGAAAACGAATGTGCGCGCTGCTGAGGCGAGAGCCACATGTTGAAAATCACCCGCCCTCCATCCGCGAAACTCTTGCAATTGTTCAAAACGAATGCGTGCAGCGCTAAGGCGAGAGCCACATTTTGGAAACCACCCGCCCTCCATCTGTCAAGCTGGTGTCTGTTTTTAAGCTTCAGGGGTATATGTGGTCAGGAAGTATCAGGCGAAACGCCCGACCCGCCCTAAACACTGGCTTCGGGGTGCGACAGGGAGGAGTTATCCTTAAGGAGAAGGAACGGAAGAGGAGGAGGTGGAGTAGGAGGAGAGGAGGAGGAGGAGAAGGAGGAGAAGGGGCAGCGGGGGGGGGGGGGTAGGATGAGGTGTGAGGAGAAGGAGGAGGAGGAGGAGGAGGAGGAGGAGGAGGAGGAGGAGGTGGAGGAGGAGGTGGAAGAGTAGGAAGGAGCGACGAGGGATGAGGACGACGGAGGAGGAGGAAGAGGAGGAGCAGGATGATGATGAGGAGGAGGAGCATGAGGAGAAGAAGGAGGAGGAAGAGGAGGAAAACCTTAGGCTGTAACACACCAGCGCGCAGTCACCGACACATTGCCCCCTTCTTGTTTTTTCGTCCGGCAGCCTTCTCGAATGCCTCACACCCGCTGCTCTTGGGAAAGGGGAGCTGTCCCAGAGGAATTCCACAGCGGCCACCGCTGCCGAACGCGCAAAACTCCCTTGCGCTCAGTGGACCTTCCCGGGGTGGCGACCAGTTCTGCGATCTGGGGACCCTACGTAGGCCTGCTTCGCCGGTGAGGGCCCCTGTCGCTGGACTGGGGGACGACTGCTGGGGGTTCTTAAAAGCACGGGGACAGGCCTTTGCGACTTCCACCTTGGCGTGCGTGGCCCCGCCGACTCACAGCCCGGCGCTACAGTCACGCTGGAGCCCACAGTCAGCGTCTACTTTGCTTCACCCCTACCTCAGAACTCTCGTAACACATCGTGCTGCTTGGGCGGGTATCATGGGTGATGAGCTGATATGATTGGTGGTCCGCGTGTTGGGCCACCGCCCTAAAAAGCGCAAACCTCCCCCAAACTCGCTCGACCCCCCACAGGCGGCCACCAGTCCTTCGTTTTGGGAGCCCTCCGTGTGCTGCGCAGGCGAGTGTTCCCGTCGCAGGACTGGTGGACGCCTGCTGGGGCTTGCTATGGGCAGGGGGAGAGGCCTTTGTGACTTCCGCCTTGGCGAACGTGGCCTCACCACTGCACAGCTGCTTCGGAGAGCTTGCTGGCCACCAAGAAATTGGCCAGGGCGGCAGTGACCACAGCATCACCACACCTCCAACTTCCAGCTTCGCCGTTCGCCAGTGTCACGCTGCTACATGTCCTCACCCAGTCAGCAGTCCCGTCTTGATGCGATATGGTCCTCCTTCTCCCTGTTGTCTCCTGCGACCGCGCTGTGTCGTGTTTACCAGCAGCTACCTCCCAGCTGGCCGTCCCAGGCTTTCCCTGGGGCTGCCTTGCTCATTAGTCCGGTCAGCTCCCCGCCGGGGCCGAGCGGCCCTGGGGGGGGAGGGGCCACGTCAAGATGACCTCATAACCGCGAGGGCGAGAGAGGGACAGGGGGAGGAGGACGAGGAGGAGGAGGAGGAGGAGGAGGAGGAGGAGAAGGAGGACGAGGAGGTGGATGAAGAAGAGGAGGAGGTGGAGGCGGAGGAGGGGGAGCGGGATGGGGAGGAGGAGGAGGAGGAGGAGGATGCAGAGGAGGAGGTGAAGGACGGTAATGAGGATAGCGATGATGAAGATGCCGACGACGATGACGATGATGATGATGATGATGATGATGATGATGATGATGATGATGATGATGATGATGATGATGATGATGATGATGATGATGATGCTGATCCTGATTCTGATTATGATGATGATGATGATGGCGGTGATGATGATGCTGATGATATGATGATCACGGTGATGGTGAGGTTGGCGATGATCATGATGATGCTGATCTGATTCGGGTGAATGTTGTGGTGATGCTGATGATGAGGAGGAGGAGGTGGAAGAAGAGGAGGAGGAAAAGGAGGGGAAGAGGAAAGGGGGGGAGGAGGACGAGGAAGGGGAGGGAGAGGACGAGGGGGAAGGGGAGGAGGAGGCGGGGGAGGGCAGGGCGTCATCTCGAGAGCGCCGAGGGAGCTCCTCTTGCCAGGGCGCGTGGGCTCTCCCGGGAGCGGAACGCGTGCGGTTGGCCGGGACCGTCGGGGCCCGGGTGGGGCCGGCCGTTATCGATCCGCGCGCTCGAGCGGTATCATGGCAGGGATGCTCGGCGGGGTGATACTTCTTTGGGTTAGGCGGGTGAGAGGAATAGGAGGAGGAGGAGGAGGAGGAGGAGGAGGAGGAGGAGGAGGAGGAGGAGGATAATGAGGAGTACGAGGATAATGAGGAGGACGAGGAGGATGCGGAGGAGGAGGGGGAAGAACAGCCTCAGGCCTGAGGATTAGAAGGACAAGGAGAAGAAGGAGACATGGAGAAGAAAGATGAGGGAGGATAGGAGGAGGAAGAGGCGGAGGAGGTGGAGAAGGAGGAGGAGGAGGAGACGGGGGAGGGTGGAGGGTAATAGTGAAACAGGGCAGGAAGAGGGAGGGGAGCGGTGCAGCAGGCTGATGATGAGAAGGAGGAGGATATTGAGGAAGAGAGGGAGCAGGACATGCAGGAGTAGTACGACGAGGACGAGGCGGATACGTATGAGGAGCAATGATCAGACGACGACGGCGACGGAGGCTGATTGAGACGAACGCGGCGACGACGACGATAGCGAACTCCACGACGATGACGACAAAGACGAGGACGAACGCGAAAGTGAAATCGCCCACTTGCGCAGGACAATTTTATGTTCAGGCTTGCGTGTTCACTACCGCCGCTCGAGCCTGTTCTGGTCCTCTTGCCGCTGCGCTTTCTATACGTCTGTGAATATTTCCACATCTTATGCACTTGGCAAGGCTGAGGGATAGAGCTGGACATGCAGATGCTCTCCAACCTCCGCCCTTCATTACGCTCCGCCTGCTTTGATCGCTCGCGCTCGCCTCGTGCCCAGACCTCAAAGCATCTTCATATTTACAAGACGAGGTCTCTCCACCTGCCCCTTTTTTTTCCGGCCAAGAAGCTGAAATATGGATCAGTTCGTCTTCGGCAGGAGACCGGTGTTCTTACGTCCTTCCATGGCTGTTCCTTCTAGCGTTCCTCGTGCACCCAAGCGCTTGTGAGGCCAGATGGGAGCTTCGTTCCTCATGCAGCGTTCCTTGTGATAGTCACTTGATTGCACCATGATGCGTAGGACGCTACATCTGAGCGTGCTACCTCCCTGCTGCGCGTCCCTACCTCCCTTCGTGCACCCTCTCCTCCTGCGTGCCGCGCCACAGAGATGTGTATGCGCGTCCACCAATGCGTTGTGCAGCTTGCAGGGCGGACGCCTTCAAAGACCGGAGCACTGCCCACACATTGTGCACGCGCCCATGGGCTGTCGCAGCCGACGGCCTGACCCGACCTGACCTGCGCGCTGCTATCGCCTCGCCGGCATGTGCCGCCGTCAGCTCTAGGTGGTCTCAGCCTGCTCTCCGTCCCAGCTCCTCCCTCGTTCGGAAGGGGGCGCTCTGCGCAGCCAGAGGCGTCACCATGGCCAGCTACACGACCGACTACGGGGTGACCCCTGCAACGAATGGCCCCTGGGGGGGGGCAGGAGTGGGGAGGGGGATTCAGCAGGCACTTTTTTTTGGGGGTTTTACCAGCCGAAGAGGGGTGCGCCCCGTGGCGACTTAAAGGGAAAGGGGGAAAGCAAGGGAGGGGAAGAAGAGGAGAAGGCAGCAGCAAAAGCAGCAGTGCTCAGCCGGGCTGCGTCTTTGCGCAGCCCGGCGCCGCGCGCCGCGCGGCTAGTCTGCGGCGCCCAGCAGCTCGGCGGGCTCGAGGAGCTCCGCCGCAGCCAGGCGCGCCACCTGCCGCGCCACCGGGCCGCGGGCCGCGGGCAGGCGCCGGCCCTCGGGCAGGCCGAGGTGGCGCGCGGCGACACTGACGGGCGTCCAGCCGCGCTGGAAGGTGGCGCACACCGCCTCGCGCAGCTCCTCGGCAGCCACCGCGGCCGCCGCGTCCGCGGCCGCAGCCAAGGCCACCGCCTGAGCGGCGTCCGCCGCGCGGTCCGCCGCCGCCGCGCGCGCTGCCGCCGTGGCGCCTGGGCCGGGTCTGGCGGCCGCGCCTCCAGCAGCCCGCGCGCCCCCCGCGGGCAGGGTCGCCGCCTGCAGGGCGTCGAGTCTAGCGGTTTCTTCCTCCTCCGCCGCTAGGTCAGCCCAGAGCCGCCGCTTCACCGGCTCTGCTAAGGGCGCTACCGCCCCTGGCGGTGCCGCCGGCGGAGCCCCCGCTCCCGGCGCTGCCGCCGCAAGCGGAGCAGCCGTCGGGGCCCCCGCTCCCGGCGCTGCCGCCGCAGGCGGAGCAGCCGTCGGAACCCCCGCTCCTGGCGCTGCCGCCGCAGGCGGAGCGGCCGGCGGAGCCTCTGCTGCGGAGTCCGTCCGGCCCCGCGCCCCGCGGCGGAGTAGCGACGGCGGCGGCCGCAGCCGCGCGCCTCTCCGCCTGCTCCCCGACCACCGGCCCCGCGGAGCTCGCCTCGTCCCGCGGGGTGGCCGGGGCAAGGGAGCCCAGTGCGCCAGCCGCGTCCGGCTGGCCTGCGAGCCGCGCCCAGTTGAGCCCGTCATACTCGAGCTCGATAAGGTGCTCGCCTGCGTCTAGCGGGAGCGCCGGCGGCCCTCGAAGCGGAGGAGCCCAGCAGCCACCGCCTCGGCCAGGACGCCCTCCGCGACCCCCTCGGCCGCGAAGCCCCAGCCGCTCGCCCTGAGCGCCGCCGCTACCGCCTCCGCGGGGGGCGCCGCCTGCGGGTCCCTCGGGCCCGTCACCCGCGGCGCGGCGTCCGCGCCGTCGTCCGCCGCGGTGGCCGCGCCGCCGCCTGGCCCTGCTCCCGGCGCTGCCGCTGCCAGCGGAGCTGCCGTCGGAGCCCCAGCTCCCGGCGCTGCCGCCGCAGTCGGAGCTGCCTTCGGGGCCCCTGCTCCTGGCGCTGCCGCCGTGGGCGGAGCCGCCGTCGGAGCCCCTGTTCCTAGCGCTGCCGCCCTGGGCGGAGCCGCCGCGGGAGCCCGCGGCGCCGCCCCCGGGGAGCCGCTCTCGGAGCCGTTGGAGCTGCTGCCACTGCAGGCCGGGGCAGCCGTCCCCGCCGCCGCCGCCGCGCCTGGCCCTGCGAGAAGCGTCCCTTCCGCGGGGAGTGCCTGCGCGCGGCCTCGGCTTCGGCCAGGCGCCCGCGCGGGAGGTAGCTGGAGTCGCCGCTGCGGGAGCGCTGGCCTGGGGGGCTCGCTCGCGGCTCGTCGCCGCCCGCCGCGGAGCAGCGCGTGTCGGCTGCCTCGGCGGGCTCCGGTGCGCCCGTCTTGCCCAGGGGGGCTGGGGAGCGGCCGCGCGTGTGGCTGCTCCGGCGCCGCACCCGCCGGCGGACAGCCCGCTTGCTCGGGCTGCGCTCCCGGCGCGAGCTCCGGCGTCGGCGCCGCGGCGCCCGGGCGTTGGGGCTGCTGCTCGAGCGCACCCTGCGCCGGCGCAAGCGGCGCCCAGTAGCCTTCGCCGCCGGCCCCTTGCCACCCTGCGGGCTGCCGGCGCGCGCGGGCGCCTCGGCGCGGCATGACCCAGGGGGCGCCGTCGCTGGCCCTGCGCCGGCGCAAGCGGCGCCCAGTAGCCTTCGCCGCCGGCCCCTTGCCACCCTGCGGGCTGCCGGCGCGCGCGGGCGCCTCGGCGCGGCATGACCCAGGGGGCGCCGTCGCTGGCACCTCCCGCCCGCGCACGAGCGCCTTCCCCCGCCGGGGGGTGTCACCAGGGCCGGCCGCAGCGTCGCCGCCCTCGGCACCGTCACCGGCGCTCCCTCCGCGGGAGCCGGCCTGGCGGCCGGCCGGGCCTTCGCTGGAGGGGGCGGGTGCGGGGTCTTCCTCCACGGGGCCCGCGCCCTCACCCACGGGGCCCGCATCCGCGCTGCCGAGGGGGCTCTCGGTGCTGCCGCCTGCGGCCCAGCAGCCGGGTGCCAAGGGCACTCCCCCACACGCTCCCGGCGCGACTGGGGCTACGTGGACCCTCCATCCCCAGCCCGCGGGGAGGCAGGGCACTGGGATGCACAGCCACGTGCACGTCTGCCCGCCCGGCTGCCACGCGACGGCATGGCTGCTGGGTTGCATGCGCCGCCCCGCGGCGCCCGCAGCCCGGCCAAAACAGCAGGTGGGCCCTCGAGCCCACGGTCGCGGCAAGCTTCCAACCCCCCCCCACGCCAGGTAGGACACCGGTCCATCAGCGGGTGCCCCACGATGGTTTTTTTTTTTTTTTTTTTATTTTCTTTTTTTTTAATATTTGTATTTTTTTTTTGTTTTTTTCTTTTTTTTTTTTTTTTATTTTTTTTTTTTTTTTTTCTTTTTCTTTTTTTTTTTTGTTTTTTTTTTTTTTTTATTGGTTTGTTTTTTTTTTTTTTTTTTTTTTTTTGTTTTTATTTCTTTTTTTTTTTTTTTTTTTTTATTTTTTTATTTCTTTTTTTATATGTATTCTTTTTTTTTTTATTTTTTTTTTTTTTGTCTTTTCTTTTTTTTTTCTTTTTTTTTTATTTTTTTTTTTTTTTTATTTTTCTTTTTTTATTCATCTTTTTTCTAACGCTCCCGATGGGCGCGCGGAGCCTTGGGGCACCCCACAGAGCTCAGAGGCGACGAAGGATGTGTCCCCGGATGCTGTCTAGCTAGAATAGATTACCATATGTGCATGCTTGAGCGGAGCCTCTCCGGGGAATCCAAGAGGGAGGTGAGGACTAGGTGTGTGTAGCGTGCGTGTAGTGTGCACGTGTGCGTGTGGATGCCAATTTGCACTGCCGTCTCCCGGCTTGCTGAGCGATCCTGCGGACTGCTTTTGCCGCGCTGCGGCGGAAAAGTGTGTATGTGTGTGGATCCCATGGCCGGAGCGATCGTGCCCCACGCATTCCTTTCAACGCATCCCCTGGCCCCCAATCGTCCGCGCACATGCCTCGGGCGTCCCTCTGTCCTTGCCCCACGGCCCGCCTCCTCGGCGCACCTGTGGACAGCGGAGCTTCGCGGATCTGCCAGATGGGCAGAGTTGGCCGGGGGAGCAGGCCAGAGGAGTTGAGGGGGGCTTGGGGTCGTCCGTGCGAGCACGAGGGTGCGGGCCACACGAGCCCATGCGTGCGAGCAACGATCGCGAGACGCTCGGCAGCACGCCCCGTGAGACGCAAGGCGAGGTTATTGTTGACTTCATGTCCGCTCCTGGGCTCAGACGTTTTCCTCCAGCGAGTCCCGCCACCGCGCCAGCCCAGCATTCTTGTTGGCAACTGTTCGAGGGGGTACAGGATGTGGTCACGCGTGACACCTCGTGTCTCAATCGTCCATGCTGGGAAAGCCTTGATGAGGGTGCTGATGATTATGAGGATGGTGGGGTTGATGGTCCATGGTGGTGATATAGGTGGTGTTGGTGGTGTTTGGCGACGACGACGACGATGCTGTGCTGATACTTACTTTTACTCTACTACTATCTACTATATACTACTACACTACACTACCATACTACTACTACTACTACTACTATACTATTACTCTACTATACTACTCTACTACTATTCTACTACTAATACTACTACTACTACTACTATACTAGTTCTACTACTTTGTTGTGGATCCGATACTACTACTCCACTACTATACTACTTATATATACTATACTATTATAGTTATACTAATACTACTTACTACTACTTATATACTACTTACTACTATATATTACTACTGCTGCTATTGCTATATGATGATGATTACATTTACTACTATATACTACTACTCTGCTGCTGCTGTCGCTGCTACTATACTATATTGTTGCTGCTGCTGTACTAGTACTATACTAATCATTTATTACTGCTACTACTACTACGACTACTACTACTACTACTACTACTACTACTACTACGACTACTACTATTATACTTTACTATAATATACCATTCCATACCAGACTATACTATACTATACTATACTATACTATAATATACTATACTTTACCATACTACTACTACTACTACTACTACTACTACTACTACTACTACTACTACTACTATACTATACTACTACTACTACTACTACTACTACTACTACTACTACTACTACTACCATCCAATTATTTTATCGTATACTTACTCTACTATACCTACTGCTTCTTATACTACTACTACTACTACTACTACTACTACTACTACTACTACTACTACTACTACTACTACTACTACTACTACTACTACTACTACTACTACTAGTTACTACTACTACTACTACTACTACTACTACTACTACTACTACTACTACTACTACTACTACTACTACTACTACTACTACTACTACTACTACTACTACTACCACTACCACTACCACTACTATTTCCATGATAATGACGCTGATGATGACGATGGTGATGGCGTTGATGATGCTGTGGCTGATGATGATTATGCTGTTGATGGTGATGACGACGAAAAGGAGGATTATGATGATGAGGAGGAGGAGCAGGAGGAGGAGCATGCCTATGATGATGATGTTCGATGCGAATGATGATTATGACGTGGATGGGGAGGAGCAGTAGGTGCAGGAAGAGGTACACCGTCACATGTGATATCTTTCAGCGTTGCGCCTCGTGACGGCGGGATGTGCAGACGCTGTGCACTACTTGCGATTTCCTGCCACGCTCAGATCGGAGTGAAAGCCCGCAGCTGCCGCAGACGGTTTGTTTCCTGGCGCGTCTCCGCGCAGCTCCGTGCCCGCGCTGGCCGCACAGCGATGGGTCCTGGGCCCTAAGCCCTCCAAAAAACTGGGCTGGCAGCTAGTTCCCCGTACGATACCGCGGGCCTCCCCCCCCACCGAGCCTGGACCCCGCCACACTGTCGGTGCGCACCACTGCGCCCGCCCCCCCCCCTCCCCTTTGCGGGAGAGGGGGAATATATACTCGGGCGGACGGCAACGGGGGCGCAAAATACGTCGGGGAATCGAGGGCTGCAGGACAATGGCCTTGAAATGGGCCCTGCACGGCTCCCACACTTCCACTCCGGGCCCAGAAGGTGCCCGAAAAAGCGCACGCTGCTGCACCCGACGCTGATTTCCTCCATGTGCGTCCACTTGAACGAATACCCGATAAACGCGACGACGCCCGTGCGTGCGACTCGAAATGTCCTCGCGTGAGCGGGAACTTTTCGCTCCGAAAGGTGGTGTGGTGTTAGTGATGCGACAGGGCAGTTGTTTTGCCAGTTCCGTTTTTGCAGTCCTGTCGCTGGTTCAGGCGTAGTTTTTGTCGCCGTTTCCATCACAGTGTTTGTTTCTGGTTTGGGTTTTGGTTCCAACGGTGAAGCACGTTTGCACCGTTTCGGGAGCTGTTCGTCAGCCGTCCTCATGCTCCAGAACGGGGAAGAACGGTCCTTCTGTTTCTGGGGCCACCTAGGGTGCAGCCTACGCAGTTGTCCTGTGACCCTTGGAGGCCGGTTGTGCTGCCCAGGTGTGGAGTGAGGAGTCGGGGAGGCGTGGAGCTGAAGTTCGTGACGAAGCAGGCTGGTGGCACCAACGTGGGCTCGCGCTTGTATGTCATGGACGGCGATGACAAGTATAGGAGCCCATCGGTCTCCCTCGCGTTCCCTTGCTCTTCCCTTGCCACACATTCCGCATCGTGTTTTCAGCCGCTAGTTAGTCGTACCAATGCCGCCCCTCCTTCACTTGCCCTTCTTGCCTTTCTTTGCCAGCCTTCCTGTTTTTGTTCGAGATGCAGTGGGGCTGATAACAAACCAGTGCACAGTTGACATGGGGGTCCTGGCAGTGCTCTGGCAGGCCTGTCGCTCTCCGCAACGGCACCCTCATCTGTCCACGAGGCGCGTCAGGGGGCACGAACGTCGAACCAGGCTACGATGATTATATATATATATATATATATTATATATATATATCTATATATATATATATATATACACACACACACATATAGCGGACCCGGGGCCGGGACCCCGACCACAAATGTGGGCCCCGGGGGGCCCGGAGGCTCGTCGGACCGCCGGACGCCGTCCAAGATCGTTCGCAGGCGGCCTCGGAACGCGCTCCGATGGCTCCAGATGCCTTCCAAGACGCTTGTCATGACACCAAGAAGGTCCCAGAAGCCTCCAAGACGCTCCGAGAGGCAGCCCAAGAGAGGCCCAAGAAGCAAAAATCGTGCCATTCCTATGGGAAAACATATATTTTTCGCATGTTCGCCTCTTGGGCTTTCACCGCGTCCAAGACGGCCCAAGAGGCGCCCAAGACGGTCTACGAGGCCTCCGGGAGCGCTCCAAGGCTGCGCACGAGTGGCCCAGGACGGCCCCAAGACGGCCGAAGAGAGCCCCAAGACGAGTTCGAGAGGGGTCCCAGACGGAGAAAGCCAACCTCGAATTCCGAGCTTCCGGCCCAAGAGGCTCCAGGAGGCGCCAAAATGCCGCCAAGAGGCGCCAAAAGGCTCCCAAAAGCACCCCAAGACGTTCCGAGAGGCACCCCAAGAGAGGTCCAAGAAACAAAAATCGTGCCATTCCTATGGGAAGACGTATATTTTTCGCATGTTCGCATCTTGGGCTTTCACCGCGTCCAAGACGGCCCAAAAGGCCTCCAAGACGGCCTAGGAGGCCTCCGGGAGCGCTCCAAGGCTGCGCACGAGTGGCTCAGGACGGCCCCAAGACGGCCCAAGAGAACCCCAAGACGACTTCGAGAGGGGTCCCAGAAGGAGAAAGCCACTCTCGAATTCCGAGCTTCCGGCCCAACATATCCCAGGAGGCGCCAAAACGCCGCCCAGAGGCGCCAAAAGGCTTCCAAAATCAGCCCAAGACGTTCCGAGAGGCACCCCAAGAGAGGTCCAAGAAACAAAAATCGTGCCATTCCTACGGGAAAACGTATATTTTTCGCATGTTCGCATCTTGGGCTTTCACCGCGTCCAAGACGGCCCAAGAGGCCTCCAAGACCGCCCCAAGACGGCCCAAGAAGCTTCCAAGAGGGCCCCAGGACAGCCCAAGAGGGCCCCAAGACGGCCCAAGAGGCGCCCAAGATGGCCCAAGAGGGCCCCAAGACGGGCCCAAGAGGGGGCCCAGAGGGGGACCACGAACCGCAAGCTCGAGCCTTCCGCCCCAAGAGGCCGCCAGGAGGCCCCAAGGAGGCCCCTCAAGAGGCCCCAGGAGACCCCCAAGAGGCCCAAAGGAGGCCCCGAGAAGCCCCAAACCGGCCCCCAAAATGCTTCGAACCTGCTTCCAGGAGGCCCCCGACAGGTTCAGAGGCTCCCGAGAAGCTACGTCAAACTCCCAGCGAGCGGCCGGACGAGGCCCCCCACAAAATCACAAGAGGGTTCCAGCATTTGTATACTTCAGCGCTCTCTGGCCTTCTTCCCCCTGCCCCCTTCCCTGCGACTTTCGTTGACTCAAGCTCGCCTCCTAGCTAGAACCTAAGCGCGCGCGAAGCGCGCGCGTGGTTCTAGTATAGATGTCCGAGGGCTGCTTAGTCGTTCGTTTCCTTGAGGAGTACCCCAACCTAGCCTAGACCGCCCAGTCCTCCCAAGTTTGGTTACCAGTTAGGGCTCTCCCACTCTGTGGTTGGGGTTCAGAAGGGGCACATTTATAGCGAGCATAGCGAGCGTGCCGCCGGCGTCTGACTCAAGACGCCGGCGCCTCATTTGCTTGTATTGCATGAGGATTCGGCAGTTCACCATCGCATTGGAAAAGGGACTTGATCGTTCCCCTGGAAGATGCACCATCTCGCACTATATTCCAGACCTTTTTTACGACATGGTCTTCACCCTTCTTTTCACATGGTAGCGGAGCTGGCCCCACTAAATTGTGGTCAGTTCTGTCGATCGCAATATCTATCCACGGCACGGTTTGGTACGCTATCGACACCACTGCGACGTCAGAGCGTGACTATTGGCAAGCAGGCGGGAACGCCCTTAGCGGACACGCTATCTCCATTATGGGCGACATTCGCCTGACCACTCTGGAAATCGTACACACCCCGGCTCTACGCCACCCAACGAACGACGAACTTGAAAACAAGCTGAGGTACCAACTTCCACCACGCGGAAGCGCGAGCCCCATATTCTTGAACAAACATGGGGACACACGTCCACAGCAAATTCGCCTCCGAACGACGATAGACGCACCGAAAACCACCAACAACCACACGACGTCCAAGACGTTTCGTGGAATTGTTTTTAACGTATGTTACTTTCAGCATTATGTTGTTGGTCATTGGGCGTGCACTTGGGCACATGCAGCGTGGTAGCTAACATGACGCAGGCGATCAGACGACAACGGGCCCATGCTGGGACCCCTCATGGAACGTATCGTTCCTTGAGTTTAGCACTGCAGTACACGCGCGGCTGAATGTCACGAACTCCCGCACCACCCCACAACAACAAGCTGCACGTATGCAGCATGGTCTTGGCGGGGTAGCCCGCGCCATTGCGATGCGAATGCCTCCCCTGATCATTAACCGCGGCGCGACGATGCAAGGCGCCCACTCGCCACGTACATTGTTTCCCTTTTGAGCGCCAAATTCGAGAACCTCGAAGACGAGCGACAGCTCACCTCAGGAACGGCGCTCTGGCGAGAAAACTGACTCTGTCCTCGCCAGGTTCGAGATGGCCCATCTCGAGGATGATGCAGTCGGCTTTGCCATCCCAGACTTTCAGTTGCTCGCGACATTGCTCTTTAGAGCCCTAAGGTTCGGCCCTCGCAGGCTGCGAAGATGCCCCAGCCTCTCAGCGGTCAGTTGCCGCGGACCCAACAATCACGCGATGAATGGTTGGACCGCGCGCGCAGCTTTGGGCATCTGGCGGGGCGCGCCCCTGGCAACATCGGAAACGTATTGTTGGGAAACACAGGACGCGGAGATGCGAATGCATGCGCGGCAAGCACCGGCGGAGACGCGGCCGCACCCAGCAACATATGGGTTGGCGGCTCCAACACCTCGGAGGATGCCATTACGCTACTCCTGACGACTCCTCAGGGTCCTGGGACTGGCAGAAGCTACCCAACGCCATCAGCACAACGGGGCTGGCAACAGCGTTCTATCCCGCAGTCGTACACGGCCTCAGAGCCAGACTTCCTTACGTGGCCAAACCTCCAGTGGATATTCGCCCGACGACTCTAGGACATATACTAACGCGCTATAATCCAACGGAAACGAACGAATAGATATGTCAGATTTGCCCCCCCCCCCCCCCCTGGCCTCGGTGATGCGGAAGCCGCTGAATATGTATTCCTAGGCTACCAACACGCAAAACGCCCCTGGAGGCGGCCCATCAAGAAGCCCGCACGGCGCGCGCGCAGTGCATTGCGGAAAGCATTTCGCCGACGGGGGAAGGGTCGTGGAAGCGGTGGTCGTCGCACCCGACGGCTACGCGGAAAAAAAGGCTTCGCCGCGTTTATGGCCACATCTTCCAGCGCCGAGTTTGACGTGATCTTCCAGGCCGAGGGTCAGGGCAGACGCCGTTCCACGGGGAGGTGGAATGGCAGGAAAACCCACTGGGCCCAAACGGGAAGATAATCTTGTGCTACCGATGCAGGGGCGACAAAGACTTCCAGCGCCAGTGCGATATTAAAAAGGGGAGGGAGGGGGGGCAACGCGGCCCTCTCGACGGCTCGAGAGACAATCGAGGACGCGGAGTACATCGATCGGCCCGGACTCGATCCCCCTTCAGCAAGTACCTTTCTCACGCGCGGCCATTTCCACCGAGGGGTGATTGCTCGTGCGTTCGACGACGCGCTCTCCAACTTCGGCGGGGGCGCTATTGCGCGCGACGGGGGCGCCACCGAAGCAGGGGCGGCCTTGTCTGCGCCGGCCGAGCTGCAGCACGCTGGCTGGCCCAATATTGCGAAGGCGCATGAGCAGACGCCTTCGGCAGAGATAACCGCGCCCACGGGGGCAGACGCACTGCGCGGAAACACGCCCGGGCAAGGAGTCGGGCGGGCGACCGCGATTACGCTCGAAGATCTCATGGGCGTTGGGCGGGGCGTGTCCAGCTCCGACGCCTATCTGACGTATCGCGTCCCGCGGGGCCGTTCGCGTGGACTTGCGGGGGGGCCGCCCGACTGGGGCGGCCCCCGCGCCCGCGTCTTTCGCCCGCGCATGGGCTACTGGCGCGGACAAGGTTGGACCGAATCAGATCCGCAACTGGCGCGCCGTCGTGCGCGGCGAGAGGAATGAAGGAGGCGCGATCGCGCGCGTCTCTGCGGGGATGCGCCCCCGCCGTCGCGAAGGAGAGCGGAGTGCCCGGCGGGGGCGCGTCAATCTTCGCAGCGTTTACCGCGTTTGCGCACGTTCTGGGCGGCAGGAGAGCATTGCCCGAACTGCCCCGTGGACGGGGGCAGCAGGTCCCTCGATCGAGGCGCCGCGCCGAGGATGCCGCGCCATGGTGACGGCGCGGGCAGCGCGCGGCCCGCGTCCTCAGAGGCCCGCCGCGCCCCCTTCAGCGACATAGGACACGCCGCCATCTGCCAGCGTTGCGCCGTCCTCCCCGATCGCCGCGAGCTGAAGAGGCGCGACCTCCAATGGCGCGAAGGCGATGGGGGGGGGGCGGAGACGTTGGAAGGGCCGGCGGAAACGTTAGGGGAGACGAAGCGGGCGCTGCCGATGCCGACCAGAGCGGAAACGCCACGAGTGCCCCTAATCGCGGCCGGCTCGTCGGAGGCTGCGCCAGCGCTGCTTCCAAGCCCGACCGGCTCGACCAAGCGGATGATCAGCCAGGAGACGAGGCGGGCCAGCAAGAAGAAGGGGGCGCAGAGGCGCCTTGAAGGTGCCGGAGAACCAGCGGACACATCCCGTTCCCCCTCTGCCGAGTACACAGACAAGACTGACGCTTCCGACTCGGACTGCGCCCTTCCGCCCTTGGGCCCTCGCAGCATGGGGGGCACTCGGCCTGGGGAATTTGTTGCAGCCGAATGCGAAGAACCAAGCCAAATCCGCCGGTTCGGAGAAGCCTAAGCTGGAACCGACGTCGAAGGCATCTCCTGTCGAACCGCGGAAACGCTCTAGGGGGCCAGAGGTGGCGGCCGCCGCCGCAACGCCCAATGGAAAGGCAGCCCCGTTGCCACGGGAAGCGGCGGCCCCTTCAGCCCCGGCGGTCTCGAGATCAGCACGCGCGCCGCGGGGGCTGGAGGCCGCCCGTTGCAGGCGCTGACTGCAGGGGGCCTCGACGCCCCAGCGCCGGGGCTAGAGCCTCTTCCTCTGCCGCTGGCAGTGAATCGAAGCCGCCTCTCCTCAGGGCGCCGGCCCCTCCAATGGAACTCCCCGGGGGAGATGGGCGAGACCGCCGCCGCGCCGCCAGCCGCTAACCCCGCAGACATTGGAGAGGGCAACGGCGAAAACGCTGAGAAGCGAGGTTGCAGTAAGGGATCCCTCGAGCACTGCGATATGGATGACGACGATGATGATCTGACTGTGGATGCTGACGGGCGCCGCGTTCCCATGCGATTTCCAGCGCGCACGGCTCTATATTAACGACGCAGAGAGAACCGTGCAACGCGCGCGCAAGCTTCTCCGCAAGATTTTGCCAATGCGACCCATCAGGGAGGGGGGCCCGCTCATGGCGAACTTCGAGCGCGTCCTTCATGATCGCCAGGACCTCGCATTCATGGGCCGGTGGCTTTCCAGGATACTTCGCCACCGACCCTTTGGTTTTGTTGGCGGCGATGACCGATGTAAAGAGCAGTTTCTCCGTGAGTGCCCGACCTTCGACATTGTTGATGGCTGGGCTCCTCTCGCGGACATCCTTGCCCATCTGGCAGTGGCAGGGGCTGCCCCGCGGTCATGGGGCACGTGGGCCCTTGCGCATGCATGCGCTGCATTGCAATGGTGGCGACGACGATGGCGGAGGTGGTCGATCACTCGGTCGAACAGGACAATCGACTGGAGATCGAGGACTCCCACCGCGAAAGCGCGACATTCGGCGCAGAACACGACGATTCAGCAATCTTCCCAGCGGACGAAGGTTTGCAGGTGCGAGCTACCAATGGCCGCTCCGGGCCAGGTCCCGCTGGTCTGGAAAGCCTCTACCGGCAGGTCGCCACTCTGACGGGCGTGATGCATGTTGTCCACTGCACAGAGACGATGCACAGTCCGTCAATCATGGAGAAGGGCCTCTTCTGCCGCGCAGAGGACTTTCCGCGGCGGAATCGCAATGGCAAGCCAGACCAGGAGCGGCAATTCATTCATGGGTGCCCTTACTTGCCAGGCGACCGCCGCGCTCAGAGCCGATTCCGAAAGAACGCGTAAAACTTTGCACTCAGCTCATTCCCGTTTCTCTTAAATCATGAGGTAGAGGCAGAATCGCCCCGCGCCAGCGCCGCCGCCAGGTGGCCCACACCCGCGCAATTCAAACATAGACTTGACACTGGCGGCGGTCTCTGTATTAGAGTTACCCTCGCCATCGACGCTGAGTCGGCATTTAAATCTTTGTCCAGCATTGACCTCAAAAAGCCGACGTAATGCACGCTACTGGGGCACATTAACCGGATACGACAGATGATGGGTTGACGTACCGTACACAGCATGCATTGGTGTGATACACGGGATATGACAGCCGATGGACATACCAGGCAGTGTTGAACGGGACTTGCTGTTGCAAGTAATAGCGGGGGCGCAATCTTGTAAGCGCGAGCTGAGGATCTATATTCTATACAGGGCTCCGACCTCAAAAATTGGGCCTGGCTCATGACGAGCCGGCGGAACGCTTCCACGGTGTGGAAACACGCGGTGAGATGAGCATATATTTCTTTTTGCGTTCTGCTTGTAATCTTCTTATATTTGCGCTGGTTGCGCCTTTGGGTTCTTGTCTCGTGGCTGGACCCCGCAGGGCTACTCCTGCCGCTACTTGGCGGTTCGATACTGGCTCGATTCCTGATCGTGCGCACCACCGCGTCGTAGCTCGCTCAGCACGAGCATTTGCGCGTTTGTCTCCGTGGGAAATGTAGCTTGATATTGCAGCTCGCTCTGCTCGTCTCCTCCCCCCATCGATTTTGAAATAGGGGTTCATATGGGCATCCGTATAGCGAGCATCGCGAGCGTGCCGTCGTCGTCTGGCTCCAGACGCTGGCGCCCGAGCTGCTTGGACTTCCCGAGGGTTCGGCAGTTCACCATCGTATTGGAACAGAGACTTGGTCGCCGCCCTGGAGGACGCACCATCTCACACCACCGTATCCCGAACCTCGTACTACATGGTCCTCATCCTGCTCGTTACTTTCCCTCCTCCCTCGCATGGGATCCATGATTGCATTTGTATGGGAAAAGCGAGCTTTTTGCTTCCAGCCGGTACGTTGAAATCAAGACCATTTTCGGCTCAGGAGGGGCGTTCCGACTTCGACCCGATCTGATCCGACACGGACCGGTTTCATCTCCTGCAGGAAGGCGTCGCGCCAGATCCAATTATCCGATCCCGATCCAGTTCCGCGCTGTTATGCAGGCGCGCTCCGATCCGTTTCCCCGATCCGATTCCGCGATGCGATCCAGCTCGAACCTGACATCCAGGGCCATTTTGGGGCATCTGGGGACCTTTCCCCCGGTCGGGGGCGGCAGAGAGGGGGGTGATGACTGGGGGGGAGGAAATCATGGCTTGGGCCACGATATTCTCCAGATTTCAAGGTGCCTCGTCTTGACTCATTACGTCCCCGGCCCCCCTGGGCCGCGCACGTGGCGCTGGACGCCACCTTGTTGTACGCCCCCGACCCAGGATCTTCCATTTGAAGAATCGCGAGTTCGCGTTCGACGTGGACGTCTCCCAGCTGCCCTGCGGCCTCAACGGGCGGGGCGGGCCCGGGGCGTGCTGCTCTGTGGGGTTCCCGGTGTCCCTCCCCCCCCCCGCGCCGCGGCTGAGGCCGAGGAGACTTGGTAGAGTCGGGGGAGGCTTCAGGAGAGGGAGGACAGAAAGGCAAACACACAGAGACAGGCAGACAGACAAACAGACAGACAGACAGACAGACAGACAGGCACGCAGGCAAACAGACAGACAGACAGGCAGACAGAGTGGTGGACGGGGATAAGGGCTCAGGAGAACGAGGACAGACGGACAGACAAACAGACAGATAGACCACACATGAGCCATAGTCCGTAGTCCGGACCCTGATGGAAAAAAACACCTCCTCTTAAGGAGTGAAGTTGTTTCTGTGGATTGTACGGCGCTGTGCTACGGTTTCTGTGCTACGCTCTGCGTGCGCCTGCCATCGGCTTCGCCGGGGGATACCTCTGGCCTACAATCGAGGGACGGTCCGTCGGGGAAGCCTGAACCGCCCTTGAGGAGCACCGGCCCCCAAACGTGTCACGAAATCGTCATCCTATGAGTAGACACGGTTCATTTCTAATTATTCGAAAGGTGTTTTATGTTTGGGGGTCCAAGATCCTTTCATTTCGAATTCTTGCATCCTGGGCGTATTCCTGGCCACCAGGGGGCCAGGAACAATTAGAAACGAGCACAATTTGAAATCAGCGCGATTAGAAATGAGCGACGTGCAGTCAACTACTATTTCTGTGGTAAATGAAGGTCAGGAGCAGGAATGGATAATGGAGCTAAACCGAGGAGATGGGGGAGGTCAGTAGCAACGGTCTGGACTCTGGAAACTCTTCCAAGGAGTGCCTCAAGACGAAACTCGAATTCCGTGGCGGGGCTCGGAGTCATGACACATAGAAAACAACTATGTCTCCAGCCTTATACTTGAAGCGAGGAGCGGAACATCTACTTTGAAGCCGGTACAGCATCTCATTGTTCATCATTCCTCTCATTACCATGTCTCTCATTCTCTCCAAGCCTGCAATCTCGCACACCCGAGCACTCAACGGAGAGGGAGGAGGCGGAAAGGGAGGAGGAGGAGGAGGAGGAGAAAGAGGACGAGGAGGAGGAGGAGGAAGAGGAGGGGGGCAACGATGGGAGGGAACGTGGATGAATTGGACTGTAGCCAAACTCTTCTGTAGAGTCAACTGGGCAATTATGCACCCCGTCGCCTGGCCTAGGCCTGCAGCCGAAAAGAGCTGCTGAATGACTTCAACGACGATCCTACCCGTGCGCGCATCGTGGAATCTCTGGCCGCCCCGTGTTTCACTCGGCAGCGCGTCGAGAGTCGGAGATGAGAGAAACACCGTAAGCATAAACATTCGGGGCTCCGCGCGGATTTCTCGGATCGGCGCTGGGCCCCCTGTGGCGGTGCCTCTGGCCCCGCCCCTGGCACGCTCTGGGTGCCAGGTATGGGGATCCACCGCCGATCCCAGGGATTTGCGCCGGCCTCCGAAAGTTGCATTTACGCAGCTCTGTTGCTAACGTTGCTTTGTCCCCCTGCTTCACTCGGCGGCGCGCCGAGGGTGGAATGGCTACGATACAGCGACCGCGGTCGCCTGTGGACAGTCCTTGTAACTTGGGCATCGTAGTAGTTTCCATAGAACCAGTGCGGTTGTGCCGAAGGCCAGGGGAAGGCAGGGTCGCAGGTTTTCTCGGGATGCCAGGGTTTTTCTCAGAAGCCTTCCGGCCCTCCGTGGCGCCGTCCGTCGTTTCGAAGAGGAAGAAACCGGGATCTTCCGAGAAGGTTGCAGGTTATCGGAGTTATCTTTGGGCTTGTTGAGGGACACCGAGGAGAGAAGAGGTTGAACTAGAGCCTGAGGCGTCACCATTGCGCCATCCTTCCGCAGCCCCCTTGGCACAAAAGTTATCATGGTAGCAGAGCTGGCTACGGCCAGCTCCTGCTGGGCGCCCCCCCCCCGCGCGTAAGGGAGCTGGCCATAGCTGTCGCGGCCTTGGCCGCAGGCCGAGTTTTGATCCACGGCGACCAGCTGACACAGCAGCTGGCCAAGGTCTTCGTGACCAAGCAGCTGAACGAGGTCTTCGTGACCACGCAGCTGAACGAGGTCCACGTGACCAAGCAGCTGGGGTCTACGTGACCACCGACGAGCAGAACGAGGTCCACGTGACCACAGACATGCAGTACGAGGTCTACGTGACCACCGACGAGCAGAACGAGGTCTCCGTGACCACAGACAAGCAGTACGAGGTCTACGTGACCGCAGACAAGGAATACAAGGTCTACGTGACCACAGACGAGCAGGACGAGGTCTACGTGACCATGGCGGAGCCTGGCGCGGAGTGGCAGGGCTTCGGGCTGAAGCCACCGACGTTCGACGGCCACGGAGAGACGTGGACGGAGTGAAATTTTGTGATGCGGGCCTACCTCGGAGGACAAACGGCACAAGCGCTGAGCCTCCTGCAGGCGGCTGAGCAGCGAGGATATCCAGGCATCAGCATGGTAGAGACCTTGCATCGTCTGGGAGCGGAAGGAGTTACGGCGACGAAGAAGATGTTCTTCGCGCTGGTCATAAGGCAGTGCTCAGATGCTGATCAAGAGCGTGAAAGATCAGAATTGAGCGCTGGCATGGCGAGCGCTGGCCAAGCGCTACGAACCCGCGTGGGCGATGAGAGCGCAGAGTGTCATGACGGCAGTTCTCAATATGAAGGGATTCCCTTCGGACCTGGCGGGGTGCGAGCAGTGCCGCTCGGACTGGGAGCGCTACATCAGGCGCTGCGAGACGGCGTCGGGAGAGGTCTTCAATACTGGAGTCACTAAGAGCCTCTACCTACAGAAGGCGCCGGGTAAATCAGAACGGCACTGCAGATGCAGAGCGGAAGAACTTACGACGAAGTGGTCGCCACCGCGATGCAGCATCTACAAGCGGCGACGGTGCACGAGGATGGGCACCAACAGGAATGGCCAAGCCCAACAGGACCTGGAGCCGAAGGTAACAAAGCAAACCGAGCCTCAGGAGCCATGGAAGTGGACGCGCTGACTCGTCAGCATCCCAAAGGCAAAGGCAAGGGCGGCAAAGGCAAAGGTGGAGGCGACAGAGGCACAGGCAGAAGCAAAGACCAGAAGGGCAAGGGCGCGGATCCCATGGCGAGGGCGGCAGCAACGAGACAGTCAGCCTGGGATATGTCAGGAGTACCTGGGGCAAGGCTATGCTACGAATGCGGCCAGATGGGGGCGCTCTGCATGGGATTGCCGGCGTCGGAACGAGAGCCCCAACTACGACAAGGGCAAGCAGAAGGCCAAGAACGGGCAGAAAGGTGGGGCGAACAAGATCACGACGTACGACGGCTGGAGCAACATCAGCACGCCACCACCAGAGAGTCCAGCACCCTCGGCAGCAGGACCTTCAGTCAGTCAAGTGGGAGCAGGAGTTCGAGCGATCACCACGATAGACGGGCGCGCGGCAGAGTGGGAAAGTGGCTTCATCTTCGCAGCAACGAAGGTCTGGAAGCCAAAGGTGGTGCAGGAGAGAATTATCTACAGCATGATGGGGGACGGCATGTGGCGCTCGATCTGGATGCTGACGGACAACTGAGCAGATGAGCGCGTGTGCGGTATCAGGGACTTCCCAAACCTGGAGCTCAAACCAAGACGCAGCCCCAACCTGGCGGTCGCAGACGGCGCGCCACCGAGGCACTGCGGATCGAAGACGGTGACGCTCTACCTAGCAGGCGACACACGCACCGTTTTGGGATTCCAGGTCACCGACGTGAAGCAGCCCATCATGAGTGTGGGCAAATCCTGTTGCAGGATGGAGAACCGCGTGGCTTGGTACGACGGTAAAGGAGGACCTGCTGAGGCACGAGGTGGCAGGATTGGGCAAGCTGAAGAAGACCAACAAACACTACGCACTGGAGTGCTGGACCTAGATGCGCGATGACGTGGGGGGGGGTCAACAGGGAGCTGACGCTACCGGCGCCGATCGGGGCAGCGGTCGCAGCAGCGCGACCAGGTGACGAAGACGAAGACGGAGCCGCAGTCCAGCGAGCACTGGCACCAGGAGAGCGGCAGCAACCGCAGGTCGTATCTCGGGGAGCTGCAGGTGTGGTAGCGGATGCACCGCCAGAGGGACCAGTGGCAGTTCCCGACGATCGCGAGACGGTGGAACCAGAGACAAAAGCCAGTGGACATACCTGGACCTCCAGAGCCATTTTCAGAGGAGACCGAGAGGCAAGAGATGGCGCACTCTTCAGCCGAACCACGGCGCGAGATCTGCATCCAGGCGAAGGCCAGCGACATAGCCCACAAGAAGATGCATAGGCGCGACAAGCGGATCTCACTGCTGAGCGTCGAGTACGGCCAGGCGGGCGTCGACGGGGACCCCGCCAACTTCGATTTCGTAGCGGGCCGCGACGCTTCGACAGCGAGCATTTGGAGTACGGCCATCATTCCGAATAGCCGAGGCGATGTCTATGCAGTGGCCTCGGCGGTTTCGTGGCTAGCTGAACTGGGGCACTCACGAGTGGAACTACACGCAAGAGGAGCATCCGAGTTCCCACTCACCATGGCAGTCAGGGCCAGGGCGATCAAACACGGCATCTGCGAGACGATCCTCATGGGGCAATCGGGCAGATCCAACAGCCAGGCGAACGGCAGGGCCGAGAGGGCCTTCAGACGGTGAGGAAGCAAGTGAGGACGCTGATGTTGAAGGTCAACATGAAGTTGAACCACGACCTCAAGCCAGACTCTCCGTTCCTTACGTGGTTGCCAAAGCACGCAGCGCGGCCCCCCGACAGATGAATGATCAGGGGGGGGGGGGGGGGGGGGGGGGGGGGGGGGGGGGCGCCAACCTCGCGCCCTACGAGAAGGCCCACTTGCTCAGGTACCAGAAGCCCACCGTCGCATTCGGCGAGGCAGTGGTCTGCAGGAGGCCAGGGGCCCAGGTCAATAAGCTGGAGCTGCCGCGGCTGGAGGGCATCTGGCTAGGGCGCGACGCGAGGGCGCACGAGCACCTGATCGGAACGCCGACGGGGGCGCGCAGGTCCAGGGCGGTGAAGGGGAAGGTGGAGAGCCGACGATGGGACTAGGAGCTGTTCGACAAGTTGAGGTGGGCACCCTGGGGGCCGACGCCGACCAGGGGGGGGGCGCCGACGCAGAGGGCACTACAGGAACCGATTCTACTCGGGCCGTTACTGGAGTATCTGGACCCGAACGCGGCAGCCGCAGCAGGAGCAAGAGCAGCATCAGCAGGAGGGGCCACAACCCGCGCCGCCACAGCCAGCCGCAGCAGCAGCGGCAGCAGCGCCGCACGACGACGTGGACATGGACTAGAAGCGATTAGAGGCGAAGAGGCCCAGGGACGAGGTGGCAGGACCGTCGGCGCCAAGGGCGGCGCCACCGCAGCCAGCGGGCATTTCGCTGGTAGAGAGGCGCCCCAAGCGAGAGCGAGAAGGCGAAGAAGGAAGCGAAGGCAAGAAGTCCAGGGTCACTACCATCCAGATGATCAGTGCTGTCAGGGAGATGTGCGAGGAGCCGCAGGTGGAGGACGAGGAGACGCACGTTCTGGAGGGCGATTTCATGGATGCGACTGCGAGGAAGGAGCGCCTGGATAATATCGCGGGAGACGGCGAGAAGATCGCGAAGGCAACCCCGATCAAGGACGCGACGTCCAAGATCTCGACGGGGGCGTGGGTCGACACCTACCGGGCGGATGGCAGCGAGAAGAGTCGGTGGGCCACGAGGGGTTTCGAGCAGCAAGTGCACGGGCGCGAGAATTTCGCGGCCACGACCCCCCCCCCACTTCCGCACCTGAAGGCGATGCTGGTCAACGCGGAGTTGCACGGCCACGCGGCGGCGTTTGGCGATTGCAGTGGAGCGTTCTACCAGGCACCCCTCACCGAGGACCGCATCTTCCTTGAACCACCACCAGAAGCAGGAGTACCTCAAAGACATGTTCGGGAGGCGCTGTGCGCATTTCCAGGGCTCAGAGGAGCACCGAGGGCTTGGGGGGGCCACAGCGCGAGCGCCATGGAGAAGCTCGATATGTTCAGGGGCCACTACGGCGGGTGTCTCTTCATGAAGCTGAGCAACAAGATGAAGGCAGGGAGGCGCGCCGACGACTTCCTAATCACTGGACCGAGCGACGACGTTGACAAGTTGTTAGAGGTCATGGGAGAGAGAGAGAGAGAGAGAGAGAGAGAGAGAGACTGAAGCGATCGGACGCGGTGACGCTCGCCAAGAACGGAGATCCGGCGACGTTGCCGAGCATGCAGGTGGAGAAGGTCGAGGGTGGCTGCACGATCAGCGGCAAGACGAGCTTGATCGACGACATCCTGAAGGAGCTGGGCTTGGAGACGGCGAAGCCATCAGCACTGCCCGAGACCAAGAACGATATGCTAATGAAGAACGACGAGGCGAAGCTCGACACGACGGGCCACAGTCGCTACAGGACTTGCGTGGGGAAGCTGCTACAGTTGGCGAGCCACCGCCCTGGCATTCAACATGGAGTTGGGATTCTAAGCAGAGGCATGTCAGGACCGCCGGAGAAGGACCTGAGGAGTTTGAAGAAGATGGTTCGGTACTTTGCAGGCACGCGAGACTACAAGATGCAGTTGATTCCGAACAGAGGATGTATTCCAGTGGAGTGTTGGGTGGACGCAGACTGGGCCGATGACAAGACGGACGGGATCTCGACGAGTGGCGGCACCCTGAAGTACCGCGGATGCACCGACCTGTCGCGGTCAAGACGCAAGGGCTGCGTGGCACTGAGTTCGGCGGAGATCGAGCTGTATGCGCTGGGGTCGGGGGCAGCGGGGGCTCTCGGACTGGCGCCACTACTCGAAGAGTGGAAGGAGAAGGCGATACCGCTCGTGATGAGCGACAGCAGCAGTGCGCTTCACATCGTGCAGATGCGCAGGCCAGTGAAGATGAAGCACGTGGAGATGCGCTTCCTGGCGCTGCAGCAGTGGAGAGAACAAGGGCGACCGAGCTTCGGCAAAGTACGCGCTCACGAGAACCCGAGCGACACGATGACCAAGCCAATGACCATGGAGAAGCTGGAGAAATGCTCGAAGATGACTGGTCTGGCACGCTTGCAGGGAGATAGAGGCTGGAGCCCAGGCGGGCGACTGAGAAGGGCATCTGCCCGTGCAGTAGAGTATGGGAAGATGATTTTTTGAGAGGAGAAATGCCTCAGTGGCCGCGCTGCCCCCCGCTCCGTTTCAGATGTTATGTCGGTAACGTTTCCCCCCGAGGTCCGGGTCCAAAGTGGACGTGGCGCCCTCGAGGGCGCGTTGAGGGAAACCGAGGAGAGAAGAGGTTGAACTGGAGCCTGAGGCGTTACCATTGCGCCATCTTTCCGCAGCCTCTTCGGCACAAAAGTTACCTGGGCTTCTGAGAGAGGGCCCTCTCCCCCTGCCTTCCACCCAGGGGGGCGCCGCTGATTCACTGCGCACTGTTCACCTCTTATTCTGCGGAAGTTACTTGATTTGTTGTTTGGGATGGGCCAGGAGAGCGGCAGCAACCACAGGTCGTATCTCGGGGAGCTGCAGGTGTGCTAGCGGATGCACCGCCAGAGGGACCAGTGGCAGTTCCCGACGGCCGCGAGACGGTGGAACCAGAGACAAAGGCCAGTGGGCATACCTTGACCGCCAGAGCCATTTTCAGAGGAGGTCGAGAGGCAAGAGATGGCGCGCTATTCAGCCGAACCACGGCGCGAGATCTGCATCCAGGCGGAGGCCAACGACATAGCCCACAAGAAGAAGAATAGACGCGACAAGCTGATCTCACTGCTGAGCGTCGAGTACGGCCAGGCGGGCGTCGACGGGGACCCCGCCAACTTCGAGTTCGTAGCGGGCCGCGACGCTTCGACAGCGAGCATTTGGAGTACGGCCATCATTCCGAATGGCCGAGGCGACGTCTATGCAGTGGCCTCGGCGGTTTCGTGGCTAGCTGGACTGGGGCACTCACGAGTGGAACTACACGCGAGAGGAGCATCCGAGTTCCCACTCACCATGGCAGTCAGGGCCAGGGCGATCAAAGACGGCATCTGCGAGACGATCCTCATGGGGCAATCGGGCAGATCCAACAGCCAGGCGAACGGCAGGGCCGAGAGGGCCTTCAGACGGTGAGGAAGCAAGTGGGGGCGCTGATGTTGAAGGTCAACAAGAAGTTGAACCACGACCTCAAGCCAGACTCTCCGTTCCTTACGCGGTTGCCAAAGCACGCAGCGCGCCCCCCCCGACAGATGAATGATCAGGGGGGGCACCAACCTCGCGCCATACGAGAAGACCCACTTGCTCAGGTACCAGGAGCCCACCGTCGCATTCGGCGAGGCAGTGGTCTGCAGGAGGCCAGGAGCCCAGATCAACAAGCTGGAGCTGCCGCGGCTGGAGGGCATCTGGCTAGGGCGCGACGCGAGGACGGACGAGCACCTGATCGGAACGCCGACGGGAGCGCGCAGGTCCAGGGATGCGAAGGGGAAGGTGGAGAGCCGACGATGGGACTAGGAGCTGTTCGACAAGTTGAGCCGGGGACCGACGCCGACCAGGGGGGGGGGGGGGGGGGGCACCGACGCAGAGGGCACTACAGGAACCGATTCTACTCGGGCCGTTACTGGAGTATCTGGACCCGAATGCGGCAGCCGCAGCAGGAGCAAGAGCAGCATCAGCAGGAGGGGCCACAACCCGCGCCGCCACAGCCAGCCGCAGCAGCAGCGGCAGCAGCGCCGCACGACGACGTGGACATGGACTAGAAGCGATTAGAGGCGAAGAGGCCCAGGGACGAGGTGGCAGGACCGTCGGCGCCAAGGGCGGCGCCACCGCGGCCAGCGGGCATTTCGCTGGTAGAGAGGTGCCCCAAGCGAGAGCGAGAAGGCGAAGAAGGAAGCGAAGGCAAGAAGTCCGGGGTCACTACCATCCAGATGATCAGTGCTGTCAGGGAGATGTGCGAGGAGCCGCAGGTGGAGGACGAGGAGACGCACGCTCTGGAGGGCGACTTCATGGATGCGACTGCGAGGAAGGAGCGCCTGGATAATATCGCGGGAGACGGCAAGAAGATCGCGAAGGCAACCCCGATCAAGGACGCGACGTCCAAGATCTTGACGGGGACGTGGGTCGACACCTACCGGGCGGATGGCAGCGAGAAGAGTCGGTGGACCACGAGGGGTTTCGAGCAGCAAGTGCACGAGCGCGAGAACTTCGCGGCCACGACCCCCCCCCCCCCCCCCCCACACACTTCCGCACCTGAAGGCGATGCTGGTCAACGCGGAGTTGCACGGCCACGCGGCGGCGTTTGGCGATTGCAGTGGAACGTTCTACCAGGCACCCCTCACCGGGGACCGCATCTTCCTTGAACCACCACCAGAAGCAGGAGTACCTCAAAGACATGTTTGGGAGGCGCTGTGCGCATTTCCAGGGCTCAGAGGAGCACCGAGGGCTTGGGGGGACCACAGCGCGAGCGCCATGGAGGAGCTCGAGATGGTCAGGGGCCACTACGGCGGGTGTCTCTTCATGAAGCTGAGCAACAAGATGAAGGCAGGGAGGCGCGCCGACGACTTCCTAATCACTGGGCCGAGCGACGACGTTGACAAGTTGTTAGAGGTCATGGGAGAGAGAGAGAGAGAGAGAGAGAGAGAGAGAGAGAGAGAGAGAGAAAGAGAGAGAGAGAGAGAGACTGAAGCGATCGGACGTGGTGACGCTCGCCAAGAACGGAGATCCGGCGACGTTGCCGAGCCTGCAGGTGGAGAAGGTCGAGGGTGGCTGCACGATCAGCGGCAAGACGAGCTTGATCGACGACATCCTGAAAGAGCTGGGCTTGGAGACGGCGAAGCCATCAGCACTGCCCGAGACCAAGAACGAGATGCTAATGAAGAACGACGAGGCGAAGCTCGACACGACGGGCCACAGTCGCTACAGGACTTGCGTGGGGAATCTGCTGCAGTTGGCGAGCCACCGCCCTGGCATTCAACATGGAGTTGGGATTCTAAGCAGAGGCATGTCAGGACCGCCGGAGAAGGACCTGAGGAGGTTGAAGAAGATGGTTCGGTACCTTGCAGGCACGCGAGACTACAAGATGCAGTTGATTCCGAACAGGGGAGGTATTCCAGTGGAGTGTTGGGTGGACGCAGACTGGGCCGATGACAAGACGGACAGGATCTCGACGAGTGGCGGCACCCTGAAGTACCGCGGATGCACCGACCTGTCGCGGTCAAGACGCAAGGGCTGCGTGGCACTGAGTTCGGCGGAGATCGAGCTGCATGCGCTGGGGTCGGGGGCAGCGGGGGCTCTCGGACTGGCACCACTACTCGAAGAGTGGAAGGAGAAGGCGATGCCGCTCGTGATGAGCGACAGCAGCAGTGCGCTTCACATCGTGCAGATGCGCGGGCCAGTGAAGATGAAACACGTGGAGATGCGCTTCCTGGCGCTGCAGCAGTGGAGAGAACAAGGGCGACCGAGCTTCGGCAAAGTATGCGCTCACGAGAACCCGAGCGACATGATGACCAAGCCAATGACCATGGAGAAGCTGGAGAAATGCTCGAAGATGGCTGGTCTGGCACGCTTGCAGGGAGATAGAGGCTGGAGCCCAGGCGGGCGACTGAGAAGAGCACCTGCCTGTGCAGCAGAGCATAGGAATATGATTTTTTGAGAGGAGAAATGCCTCAGTGGCCGCGCTGCCCCCCGCTCCGTTTCAGATGTTATGTCGGTAACGTTTCCCTCCGAGGTCCGGGTCCAAAGTGGACGTGGCGCCCTCGAGGGCGCGCTGAGGGAAACCGAGGAGAGAAGAGGTTGAACTAGAGCCTGAGGCGTTACCATTGCGCCATCCTTCCGCAGCCTCTTCGGCACAAAAGTTACCTGGGCTTCTGAGAGAGGGCCCTCTCCCCCTGCCTTCCACCAAGGGGGGCGCCGCTGATTCACTGCGCACTGTTCACCTCCTATTCTGCGGAAGTTACTTGATTTTTTGTTTGGGATGGGCCAGGAGAGCGGCAACAACCACAGGTCGTATCTCGGGGAGCTGCAGGTGTGCTAGCGGATGCACCGCCAGAGGGACCAGTGGCAGTTCCCGACGGCCGCGAGACGGTGGAACCAGAGACAAAAGCCAGTGGGCATACCTGGACCGCCGGAGCCATTTTCAGAGGAGATCGAGAGGCAAGAGATGGCGCACTATTCAGCCGAACCACGGCGCGAGATCTGCATCCAGGCGGAGGCCAACGACATAGCCCACACGAAGAAGAATAGACGCGACAAGCTGATCTCACTGCTGAGCGTCGAGTGCGGCCAGGCGGGCGTCGACGGTGACCCCGCCAACTTCGAGTTCGTAGCGGGCCGCGACGCTTCGACAGCGAGCATCTGGAGTACGGCCATCATTCCGAATGGCCGAGACGACGTCTATGCAGTGGCCTCGGCGGTTTCGTGGCTAGCTGAACTGGGGCACTCACGAGTGGAACTGCATGCAAGAGGGGCAGCCGAGTTCCCACTCACCATGGCAGTCAGGGCCAGGGCGATCAAAGACGGCATCTGCGAGACGATCCTCATGGGGCAATCGGACAGATCCAACAGCCAGGCGAACGGCAGGGCCGAGAGGGCCTTCAGACGGTGAGGAAGCAAGTGAGGACGCTGATGTTGAAGGTCAACAAGAAGTTGAACCACGACCTCAAGCCAGACTCTCCGTTCCTTACGTGGTTGCCAAAGCACGCAGCGCGGCCCCCCGACAGATGAATGATCAGGGGGGGGCGCCAACCTCGCGCCCTACGAGAAGACCCACTTGCTCAGGTACCAGAAGCCCACCGTGGCATTCGGCGAGGCAGTGGTCTGCAGGAGGCCAGGAGCCCAGGTCAACAAGCTGGAGCTGCCGCGGCTGGAGGGCATCTGGCTAGGGCGCGACGCGAGGACGCACGAGCACCTGATCGGAACGCCGACGGGAGCGCGCAGGTCCAGGGCGGTGAAGGGGAAGGTGGAGAGCCGACGATGGGACTAGGAGCTGTTCGACAAGTTGAGGTGGGCACCCTGGGGACCGACGCCGACCAGGAGGGGGGGGGGGGGGGGGGGGGGCCCGACGCAGAGGGCACTACAGGAACCGATTCTACTCGGGCCGTTACTGGAGTATCTGGGCCCGAACGCGGCAGCCGCAGCAGGAGCAAGAGCAGCATCAGCAGGAGGGGCCACAACCCGCACCGCCACAGCCAGCCGCAGCAGCAGCGGCAGCAGCGCCGCACGACGACGTGGACATGGACAAGAAGCGATTAGAGGCGAAGAGGCCCAGGGACGAGGTGGCAGGACCGTCGGCGCCAAGGGCGGCGCCACCGCAGCCAGCGGGCATTTCGCCGGTAGAGAGGAGTCCCAAGCGAGAGCGAGAAGGCGAAGAAGGAAGCGAAGGCAAGAAGTCCAGGGTCACTACCATCCAGATGATCAGCGCTGTCAGGGAGATGCGCGAGGAGCCGCAGGTGGAGGACGAGGAGACGCACGCTCTGGAGGGCGACTTCATGGATGCGACTGCGAGGAAGGAGCGCCTGGAGAATATCGCGGGAGACGGCGAGAAGATCGCGAAGGCAACCCCGATCAAGGACGCGACGTCCAAGATCCTGACGGGGACGTGGGTCGACACCTACCGGGCGGATGGCAGCGAGAAGAGTCGATGGACCACGAGGGGTTTCGAGCAGCAAGTGCACGGGCACGAGAACTTCGTGGCCACGCCCTCACTTCCGCACCTGAAGGCGATGCTGGTCAACGCGGAGTTGCACGGCCACGCGGTGGCGTTTGGCGATTGCAGTGGAGCGTTCAACCAGGCACCCCCCACCGAGGACCGCATCTTCCTTGAACCACCACTAGAAGCAGGAGTACCTCAAAGACATGTTTGGGAGGCGCTGTGCGCATTTCCAGGGCTCAGAGGAGCGCCGAGGGCTTGGGGGGGCCACAGCGCGAGCACCATGGAGGAGCTCGAGATGGTGAGGGGCCACTACGACGGGCGTCTCTTCATGAAGCTGAGCAACAAGATGAAGGCAGGGAGGCGCGCCGACGACTTCCTAATCACTGGACCGAGCGACGACGTTGACAAGTTGTTAGAGGTCATGGGAGAGAGAGAGAGAGAGAGAGAGAGAGAGAGAGAGACTGAAGCTATCGGACGTGGCGACGCT